TAGAGGTATATCAACTCCCCCAGACTTAGATCTTTGCTTGTCCTCAAGCAAAAAGAATCTAAATCCGTGAAAGAGGTTTGAAAACGTGGAAGCTCCCTTGCTCTTTTGAATATCCTGTGAAAGGTTCCTTTCCTGTATTCCACTATGAACATAGACAACATAAGGTTAGCTTCACATACACCCTGCAAGTTTAGCGAACAATACCAACCCAACTAGTCTCATCCAGCAATCCAAACTCTCTATTGCTAACCTCTTGCATAAATTTAAAGCGTGAATTCTTTATCAAGGGGACATCGATCAATTGAACTTGTTCTTACCCACTTGATCCTCTCCAAGATTGCCTCTTTAAGTGCAATGAGTTCTTTTCCTCTCTCTTTCTCACATCAGAACTTTGAAAGGTCAATTTCTCCCTACTTTTCTAGGGTATCATTTTATTTTTTCTATTGACCCTTCTTTCAACCACAGGATAAGTCTTTAGCTTGTTCCTTGTTTGACTAAGGTATTCCATAAGACATGAAGGTACAGACATATGCATTCCTCATGCTTACTTGTTTCCTTGTGCTCTTTGAGCTTTTTCTCATAACATTACTTACCATTTGGGATGGGAGAGAGAGGAGAACTCTTTAAAGATTAGACAAATCTTATTGAAAATCAAGTAAGGAACTGTCGACATGTATGCCAACCCCCTTGACAAGAGTAATTAAGATTGATTAAGTGTGAGGTTAACTCTAGATTGCTTGGTTACCTTAGAAATTTTGCTGAGCTAGCATGTCGATCCACTGTAAGAGCTTCTGTTAGGCTTGTGCCTTTAGCTGGTTTCTGCTCTAGGGTCATGGATTGTTAGCATAACACTCTCAATTCTCAAAGCAAGTTCATAACTTCCGGACTGGTTTTTGACTCAATAAAACTTTTTGAAAAACATGAAACAAAGTGAATAAAACATAAGAAAAGAAAGAAAAATGCATTAGTAACACAATAAAACTCCCCCCAGACTTAACTTGCACCGTCCCGGTGAAAGCAAATCACATTAAGGTGAGAGGTAATATTCAAAGTAAAAGAAAAATAAAGAAAAATTCATTAAAATAAGATAGGGATAGAAAATGGAGATTTGTAAGTGTCCATTGCACTAAGTACCACTTGAGATGACTATGTGTGGCAGTGAGAAGAACTCTCTTCCTCATCTATGGGGTCATCGCCTTCTGAACCAAGCTCTGAGTCTAGTGAGAACTCACCAAGGTCAGGCTCATATGGCTCTCTAGCGGTGGAAGAAGGGCGAAAGAGTCTCTCCGGTGCAATGTGGCGAACTACGCGGACTAGGCGCGAGATGAAGCGAGATTGGCATTCCACTATCTTCTCCAGCTTGTTAACACGGTCTAGAGCTTGGTGCGCAGCCATGCCAGTAGTGAGAACATGGCGTTCTTGGAGGCGGCGTTGAGTCTTGACTGCATGCTGAAGTGTGCGATATGTGAGCATGGGGAATGATGGTTTCTCACTTGATGGAACATAGAATCTTCCTCATTGGGCTGGAAAGTGACAACTCCTGAGCGTAGGCTTGGGATGTCCTCATGTGGCAGCAAGACAAGGGAAGTGTTGGCTGGACCAATTGGAAACTCATAGCAAAACCGAGTTGGGTCTTTAGTCCAACGGTTTAGGAAGTGGATGTGCTGAAGAGCATGGAGATCCAAAGGGGTTGGCTTGGGTAGTGGCTCATAGTTGGGAATGTCAATCCCCACATGCAGTACTATGGCCGTGATAAGCCTCCCAAAACGAACACAAAGCTTCTTGTTGCCTTCCAAGTCTTTGAGCTAGCTTCCTCACATTGATGAATGTCTTGGCAAGTAAAAGTCCAAGGTTGGCCTTGTACTCATGCTTGATGAATGGTGTGGTGAGGATGTAGAACTCATCAGTTGTGACCTTGTTGGCTTCTTGTTTGCATTGGAAAGTGGTGGAGATGAGGCGGTGCACATAGCGAATGGCTGGATGAGTGATTCTAGACACCTTTGACCTTGAAGGCAAGAATGGTTCATTGGCAAAGTGTGTCCAATCAGCAAAGGCAGCTTGTTTCCTCTTTGAGTTCTCCTTGAAGTCATGTGCTGTCTCATTGGGAAGTCCAAAGAGTTGGCATAGAGCTGAGATGGAGATGCGCCCATTGGCATCGCCTATCTTGAAGAGTAGGAGTCCATCACCAGCTGGTTGGTCTCCATTGTGGTTGGGAAAGGCAAGAGCTACTGTAGAGAGGAACTCCTTGGTGAGTTGTGAGTACTCACTACATTCTAGCTTGAAGAGCTTGCTCAAGCCTAGCTTCCTTATGTACCATGTGACATCATCTCTTATCTTGAGAAGATCAAGGGTTTGGGTGTCCATCTTCACACATGGCTCGATGTTCACCTTCTCCATTGCCTTCTTACACTTTCTTGGGTCTTGATTTTGTTCTCCAACAAAGGTTACAAGTGCCCAATCATCTTCTCCTCTTCTTGGACTCTCCACATGTTCTTGACTTGCATCAATGGAATGTGGGGAAGTTGGTATTTCTGCTCTTGCATTGGAGCTACTACTCCCTAGCTTGATTTGCTTCTTTGGTGGTTCCATGAATGGGTTCTTCTTCTTCTTCATACTCTCATTTCCTTTTGTCTTTGCCATTGGTGTACCTACAAGAGCAAATTCTTGGGAAGAAATATGAGTTTGTGATTAATGCAAAAGAAGAATAAGCTAATTGAGTTGCAATAATGATATGGAATAAAGGAACAACTCAAGGCTTAATCATGAATCAAAGAGACAAAATAGAAATTTCACTTTTTCAAAATTAATTTCGGATTTTACTGTTCATCCCAAGATTATGGTGCTTAAAATCAAAATTTTCAGCAAATCAAGAGAAATTGAGTTTCTAATCCAAGTAATCACTAGATAAACTAATGAATTGAAGTATGCCTAAGCAATTTCACCTTTGAATAAGGGGTTTGGAATGCCCAATAAGTTTTGTGAAAAACTATTCAATTGTGAAATTAAACTTCAAATTAACTCTAAACCACCTAGGTTCCACCTAGCAAAGTTCATTACAAGACTATAAGGATGCTAATTTCAAGTCTAGACAAGAGTTTAGACCAAACATGAAACTTATTAAGATTTTCGATCTTGCATAAACATAGGATTAGAGTTAGAAGACATACCTTTGTGTTGAAAAGTGAATAAGGTTAGCAAGAGCAAGTAATTCCAATTTAGAGTTATGAACAGTAAAAGTTTTGAAATCAAAACTCTTAGAGTTCCTCTAATGGAGTTTAGGGTTTTGGAGAAGAAAGAGAGGTTCTTGTGGTTTTCAAGGGAAAGGTGAAGTAAATAAGATCTAAATCCTATCAATTTTCCTTTTCAAATTCGAATTTTGATTGAAAACCGGTTTAAGTTGGTTTAGATTGGTTAAAACCGGTTTGAATTAATGAAAAGGGGACTTACCTTGGCCTAGAAAAGTTTTGGGCCGATGGCCGATGGATTTTGTCGCGGTCGAGCGATTTGGTCGGCCAAATTCGTTTGGTCGAGAAATTCGGCCGAGGCCGAGCGTATGTTTCCCGGATCGACCGGCACGGTCGGTCCGTTCCGATACAAAAATTTCGGCCGATCGCGGCGTTTCTTTCCCGGTTCGCGCGTGCGCGCGAACGTTTTCTGTCGCGATGGATCAATCCGGCCGAGCACAGCATTCCTTCCCGGCTCGACCGTGACGGTCGGCCGGTTGGAATTGCTCGGCCAAAATTCTTTTGCGCGTCCGCGGCCAATGTTTTGGCGCGGATTGTGTTTTCACACCTTTTTCTCCTTCTATCCTATCTTAAAACAAAGAAAACACAAAAGCAAAACAAAAACTAAGAAAATTAAAGAAAGAAAAGTAAAAGTACCTCATGGGTTGCCTCCCATGCAGCGCTTGTTTTAAGTCTTTAGCTTGACTGTAAGGCTTGGCGCTCAGGAGAAGATAGAGACAAGAGGCATCCTTGATCCTCCAAGTCTTTTCTCCTTGCAATGAGTATCTGGTGGGTGATTCACAGCTGGATAGACAATCTCTCCATGAATGTCCCTTGGCACTACTGCCTTAGGAAAAAGCTTTAGAGTTCTTGTCACTCTCTCCTTGAATCCTTCTAGATTCTCATCAATAAGCTCCTCTGGGAATAGAAGCTTCATGTTGCGGCCAGACCTAGGTTTTCTAACCTTCCTTCTTGGCTTGGCCTCATCTTCAATCTTGGTTGATCCCTTGGGCGGTTTTGGTGTAGGGGCCTTAGTCTTACTCCTTGCTTGTTTGGCAAGCTGCTTGGGCTTAGGAATGGGATCTTCCTTGATTGTTTCTTCAGTTTCTCCTTCTTGGGGTGGCTTCAAAGTAGCTTTCTCCTCTTGGACCATGTCAACAAAAGAGTTCTTTGTTGAACACATAGGGAAGAACATACCCTTGTTCACCTTGTTGAAAGAGATTCTTTGATTGGGGAAATCAAATATGGCACCCACAGTAGACAGGAAAGGGGTTCCAAATATGAGAGGTCTATGGACTACTCTCTCTCATTTCCACAATCTGGAAATCAGTAGGGATAGAGCAATTTCCAATCTGCACCATCACATTAGGCACAAAGCCATAGGGTGTTTGTGAGAATGAATCAGCATAGTTGATGGAGATGGATGATGGCTCTATCTTGGTGAGGCCTATCTTGTCAGCTATCCTCTTAGACATGATGTTCACATTGGCTCCTGTGTCACACAAAGATTGCTCAAGAATGTTACCTTTGATGATACAAGGCACAGCAAACTTTCCTGAGTTATCTGTCTTGGGGATAATCTTTGGGAAGAGTCTTCTCTTTCTAGCTCGATTGGACTCTCTCTCTGGGTAATTCTCTTCAGGCCAAATCATGCAATCAACAGTAGGTTTTGAAAGCATCCATTCTGGAACTTGGTCTTCAAATCTTTCTTCTATGGCGGCTGAGTTGCAAAAGGACTTCTTGGATTCAGCTTCCTGTCTCTTAACAGCTTCCATAGTTTGAGTGACTTGAGTCTCTAGTTTCTTCACATGAGTGGCAACAGCATCATACTTGGTGTTGAGATTGCTGAACAAAGTGTCCATCTTCTCATACATCTCTTTAGTGTTTCTCTTCTGGCCATCCATGATCTGTTGGAGGATTCCTTCAAATCTTCCACCTTGTTGGTTTGGAGGAGCTTGATTTGGTGAAGAAGCATATGGCTCCTTGGGCGGATATGATGATCTCTGCTCATATCCTTGCCTTGGCTGAAATTGACTTCCTTGAGATTGGTAAGGAGGTCTTTGTTGTTGTGGATACCTTGGAGGATACACTTGGTCTTGAGGATTCTCCACATTGGGGTTTCTATAAGACATGTTGGGATTTGGGCGATAGCTTGGATTGTATCCCTTGTTCCCATAGTTTCCAATGTAGTTCACATCTTCTTCATTGGCTTCATTAGAGAAATCTCCCATGCATTCTCTTGATGAATCTTCATTAGCATCACTCATCCCTTCTATTGCATTGATATGCTTGAGCTGTCCCTTAAGAACTTGAGCCATCATGTTCTTGAGTTCAGTCATTTGAAAAGAATCAGGGGAGCTAGTAGTGGTGCGGCTTGAGCGGTCATAATCAGGACAGTTGTTACAATCACTAGCTGCAAGATTCTCAATAAGAACCTTAGCTTCATCAACAGTCTTGGTCATGAAGTTTCCATTGCTTGCTGTATCCAATGAAAGCTTGTACTTGTGGTCAATGCCACGATAGAAGATGTTCCATAGGTTTCCCTCATTGAAACCATGATTAGGGCAGTCCCTAATGTACTCCTTGAATCGATCTAGCGCCTCATAGAAAGACTCATTGTTGCCTTGGCGAAAGTGGAGATCTTGTTTCTCACAGAAATTGATCTCTGTTTGGTGTAGAAGTGGTTGATGAATGCAGCCTTGTACTCATCCCAAGTGGTGATGGAGTGAGCTGGCAGAGACTTCAACCATCTTGAAGCTTTGTCGCCAAGAGAGAATGAAAAGAGCTTGCACTTAAGGTAGTCAGCAGAGACTCCATTGGATCTTGTAGTGCTGCAAATTTCTTCAAAGTTTTCTATGTGATCAAGAGGGTGCTCAGCTGGAAGTCCATTGAATTGGTTCTGTCTAACCAATGCAATGATCTGAGGCTTGATCTCATAGTCATTCCTTGCAGGTGGTGGTGGATGGATAGGGTTTCTATCCATGAAGAAAGCATCGGCAGAGTCATAGTCTCCGATTGTAGGTGCTCCAGCTTGGGGTTGTGCGTTCACATCTCCAGCAGGGTTAGGAGGAGGAGGAGGTGGATCTCTTCCTTCTTCTTGAGCGCGCGCCACTTCAGCGGCGTGAGCGCGAGCTGCTTCGTCGGCCATCTCTTGGGCTTTCTGCTTCCTAAGTTGCTTCTCAAGCTTGTCTATCTCTGGATGTTCAACTAGGTTGTCCTTGTTGGACCTCCTAGTCATGCACCTGAAAAGAGTCTTGGAAACAAGTTAAACTAAAAGGGAAAAACAAAAACAAAAGTAAAAATCAAAGAAAAGGAAATCAAAAACTGAAAATTCAAAAGAAAAGTAAAACAGGAAAAGGTTCTAGACTAGATCCTAGTCGAGTTCCAAAGGTACTGCTGCAGTCCCCGGCAACGGCGCCAAAAACTTGATGCGGAGTCAGGTTTTACCAAACTCCTAGACCTCTGCAAGTGCACAGATCGCGGAAGTATGGGTATCGAACACAAGGACTGGCTATTGAGTACACTTTGTAACTATGGATTTTGGATCAAGCTAAAACAAAAGTATGATTGAGGTTGTAATGGTGAACCGAACTAGCAAGTATAACGAGGTTGTAAGCAATAAAGGAAAAGCGCTAGGTCATAGGGGCTATCGCAGAGAAGCAAGCAATGATCAATGAAACAATGATAGATTAATTGATTAGGGATATTGGGATATTAAGAACCATCTAGAACACAGATCACGAATATAAAACCATTCCACTTTCGAGGCTCCGGCTCCTTTGCTAATCTACCTAGTCGCTAAACTTTTGGTATGTCCCTAGGTGATTAGATCAAGCATTAGAATGAATAGGTTCTGATACAGTTCACTAGATATAGATAGATCAACTTTCGCAGTCTAAGAAACCTAGCTTGTCAAAGAATATGTCCGGCGAATGATACAGCACTGTCGAGGCTCAAATCAACCTAAGATCGGATTACTAGATGCGCGGTAAAGCAATCAGCATTAGTTAAGTGCACAAGACGAGACAAAGACTCTAATATAATCCCTAGCTAATCATTGAAATCAAAGATCATGCAAGCAACTCATTGAATAGTAACCCTAGCAACCTAACTAGTGGATTACTCAGACATGATCAAAGCAAACACACATAGAGATGAAGAAAACATGATTGCAATAAAACTTAGAGTAGGAAATCGAAATACAGGGCGGCTCTCTTTCTCAAGAGGCTAAAAATCCATATATATAGTGCTAGGTCTTTCTAGAGGCGGCTAGGGTTAAGCCGGGCTTGAAAACATAAGTTTGGGCTTCAAAAAGGGCTTCGGGTCGACCGCGGCGTTGGGACGGTCGTGCGGGACGATCGGCCGGACAATCGGGTCGTGGGCGAGTCGGAACGGTCGGGGTCGGATGGATTCGCGGTCGGCCGGCGTGGTCGAGCGGATTGAGATTTGGCCGATGAGAATTCTCGGCCGGACGTGGGACGTCTTTCCCGGCTCGGACGGATGCATCGGCCGTGGTACGCGGAACGGGTTGCGCGGCCGCGAGGCTTGTTTCCCGGCTCGCGCGCTTTGGTCGTGCGCGGTGTGGCGTGAGCGTTGAAGCTTGGCCGACCGCGGGACAATGTTTCCCGGGTCGCGTGCGTGATCGGCCGGTGGTTTGGAACTTTGGCCGAGACTTCAGTCGGACGGATGTGATTTGGCCGAGCGCGGAACATTCGTTTCTCGGCCAGCCGGACTGCGCGGTTGGGCGCTGTTCTCGATAGAGCCGTCTGGACAGTCTTCACTCTTTTGGTTGTAACTCCTTTTCTACTCATCCAAATGATGCCATTCCAATTGCGTTGGAAAGTTAACTCAATCAGAGCACGCAGGGAACTGGTCTTGATGAAATCCATTGAGTAGATCTTTTTCTGGGCCCTCTTAAAGTTGGTGCTTGTGCATGGAGCTGCTTGAAGTGCAAATCCTATGGTTTTGCTCCAAAATGCATCATTTCACCTGTTTAGACTCTAGACACTATAAACACAGTAAAACTACCTTTTTAGATAGAAAACCTGCCAAAAACCATTAGAAAACAATGCTAAAACAGTATAAAAAGTGGGTAAATTAGAGGTATATCAAAAGGCTCATGCGAAATGGCACACAAACGCAAGGTACTGATCTCGCCAACTAGAGACTCCACATCTCGCTCAACTGCGGAATCATACCTCCGTCTACTCAACGCGTCCGCCACTAGGTTAGCCTTGCCCGGATGGTAGTTAATGCTCACCTGATAATCCGCCAAGAACTCAACCCAGCGCGTCTGTCTCGCGTTCATCATCGGCTGAGTGAAGATATGCTGCAAACTCTTGTGATCCGTGAAGACCTGTACTGTCTCACCTAGCAAGTAAGACCTCCAAATCTTCAACGCGAAGATCACTGCTCCCAACTCTAAGTCATGTGTAGGACGGTTACGCTCACTGCCCTGCCACTGTCTCGAAGCATATGCTATCACTCTGCCCTCCTGCATCAGCACACAACCAAGACCAATGCCTGAAGCATCTGTATACACCATGTAAGGCTTCCCTGGCTCGGGTAACGCCAACACTGGTGTAGTAGTCAACATCTCCTTGAGCTGACTAAAGCTCTCCTCACACTCAGCTGACCAAACAAAGGGACATCCTTCCCGGTCAACTTCGTCATCGGCTGCGCCATGGTAGCAAACCCCTTGACGAACCTCCTGTAGTATCCTGCCAAACCCAGAAAACTCCTGATCTCGGTGGCACTACTAGGTCTAGGCCAATCTCTGATAGCCTCAATCTTAGCCGGATCCACAGAAACTCCCTCTGCAGAAACAATGTGGCCAAGAAATCCCATCTCTCGCTGCCAGAAACTGCACTTGCTCAACTTAGCAAAAAGCTTCTGCTCCCGAAGCTTCTCCAGAACCAACCTCAAGTGAGTCGCATGCTCCTCCTGACTCCTCGAGTATACCAGAATATCATCAATGAAAATGATGACGAACACGTCCAAATACTCCCTGAACACGTCGTTCATCAATCTCATGAAGGCTGCCGGCGCGTTAGTCAAACCGAAAGGCATAACCACAAACTCAAAATGCCCATAACGCGTCCTGAAAGCAGTCTTCCTGACATCTGCCTCATCTATCGGGATCTGATGATACCCCGATGCCAAGTCAATCTTGGAGAACCAAGTAGCACCCCTCAACTGATCCAACAACTCATCAATCCTCGGGAGTGGGTACCTGTTCTTCACAGTGACTCGGTTAAGACCTCTGTAATCGATACAAAGTCTGAAACTCCATCCTTCTTCTTCACAAACAACACCGGTGCTCCCCACGGTGAAACACTCGGTCGAATGAACCCCTTAGACAAAAGGTCCTCTATCTGCTTCTTCAGCTCTGCCAACTCAGCTGGCGCCATCCTGTAAGGCGTCTTCGATATCGGTGCTGTCCCCGGCTCTAACTCAATCGTGAAAGGATCAGACCGAGATGGTGGTAATCCCTTCAGTGACTGAAAGACATCCTCAAAATCCTGGACAACCTCAATATCTCCCATAACAACTCCAGCTCCTGACTCAGACATAGAAATCGTCGCCAGATACGCCTCACAGCCCCGCTCTAACAACTGCTCGGCCTGAATAGCAGATATCACAATACTCCCGGAAGTCGGTCTCACTCCCTGATAAACCAACCTCCCTGCATCTCGCTCGAAGACCACTCTACCTCTGTAGCAATCCAGATGAACTCTGTAGTGTGACAACCAGTCCATCCCGAGAATAACGTCATACAGCTCCACCGGACTGATGACTAAGTCTGCTGGCATTGACTGCCCCGCAATCTCGATCTCGACTCCTCTAGCACGGCCCAAAGTAGACAAGAATCCACCTCCCGCCACCTTGACCATGCCCGCGCTCTCGCCCGCGCTACTCCGGATGCCACTCTTCTCGGCACGCTCCGGTGTAATGAAGCAATTCGATGCTCCAGAGTCGAATAAAACGTGGGACTCAAAACCGCCCACTAACAAGGTCCCTACACATTCAATTGCGTTGAGAACCTCCACAAGACTATCACAGATAAAAATGACTAACAGACAATAACACAACAACAAATTCTATACTAAGAATTTACAAAGTCTGAGTCGAAGATTTACCTGTGATCTGCCCGGTCTGACTAGTCCCGCCAGTCTCCACTGAAGAGTAACCCCGCGGCGCCGGTGCAATCTGACCCAACGGCTGCACTGCTGCGATCTGACTCACTGGCTGAGCCGCTACTGGCTGAACCGAAGCCACCGACATACTCCGCAACTTAGGACACATGGGCTTGATATGCCCAGGCTCCTTGCAGTAGTAGCACACCCTCGGTGCTGACTCCTCTCTTGGGACAACTCGAAACACGATGCTCCGTGCTCACGAGGAAACTGACTAGCACCAGAAAACTCCTCTCTACTCCTCTTCTGACCCTGCGCAGGCAAACCGCCCCTGCCAGAACCAGAACTGAAACTCGAACCACCTCTGCGCTGCTGCTGCTGCTGTCGCGGCTGCTGATGCTGACCCCGAGGCTGGGTAGCAGAAGCAACTGCTGACGGCACAGCCACCGGACCAACTGGCCCACCAAGATCGCGGCCTCTACCAGACTCGCCCTCGAAGTGTGCATACTACTCCTGCATAGAGTCCGAATATCCTTGCGAAGTCCCTCCAGAAATCTGTTCGTCAACTGATGCTCAGCCTCCATACCAAAGCCCGCATGCACTAACAGACGGCTGAACTCCTCATCATACTCGCGTACAGAACGCGAACCCTGCTCAATGCCCATAAACCGCATCTGAAGACGATCACGAGCCTGCCTCGGGAAATACTTGGCGTTGAACTCCACAAGGAAGTCGCCCCAAGTCCAAAATGCCCTCCGGCCCACCGCGGCCTGCCACCACAAATGAGCATCGCCACTCAAATAGTGGACCGCTAACTCCACCCAGTACTCCATCGGACAACGGATCGAATGAAAGTTCCGCTCCACTCTCTGACGCCACGCGTCTGCCTCCTCTGGACCAACTCTGCCCTCGAAGAAAGGCGTACCAATCCTCTGCATGTGGCCCATAAACTCCAAATAACTGGTCACACCCGCACCCACAGCCTCCGGCTGCGCAACGTCTGCAGCAACATGCTGCACCTCTGCCACTGGCGGTACTCCTGGAGCCCCCTGTGGAACCACCGGCGGAAAACGAGCCAATAGCTGCGTCAGCAACCCCACCACTAAGTCATCACGACCCGGAGCCGGAGCGCCACCCCCACCCGGAGCAGCCCCCGCTCCCAAACCAACACTCGCACTGGCATCACCCGCCAACGGAACTGACTGGGTCACCGACGCAGTATGCACACTCGGTGCCACACTCTCTCCCGACTCCTCCGGAAGTCCACGACCACGACCTCGGCCTGCTCGGCCTCCAGCTCTACCACCAGCTCTGCCACGGCCACTGCCGCCACGACCTCTAGCACCGCGCCCTCTCGCGCCACGACCTCTAGGAGCTCCGTCCATCTCACTGCATGGACCAAACATGAGCAACTAGACAATAACACAAAACACAAACACCAAAACTCACCGCGGAATCTCCTTTAGCTGAAGGGGATGATACTAAAGCCTAGCAATTCTAACAGTCCTAAAACCGTCTAGGCTCTGATACCAAAATGAAACAACCAACATTTTTTTTTTTAATTAAATATTAATCAATTCTAGCGAAGGTCTTTAAAATAAATTAAATAAATAAAATATCAATAACAAATAAATCAGCTCAGCGGAAGCAAATAATAATTAAACAAGTCTAGCAAAATAATGCAAAACAATAAAACAGTAAACATCCTATCATCCCCCTCTTCAGCCTTGATTCCGCGATCACACAAATCTTTTACCTGCAACACATTGGAATGGAGTTGCGTAAGTATTTAATAAATACTTAGTGAGGCAATCACTCTGCCTACGAGCCATTTACGCAATTTACTAGATATTTAATAATATTTATAAACTCCAATAATTATTAAATACCATTTTCCAATTATTAAATAATTTTTAATAATTAAAACTCAATTTCTCAATTATTAAATAATTCTCATAATTAAATAATAATTTTCCATATTTTAAAATAATTAAAATAATTATTTTAAATCAATTAATTAATTAAATTACCATTAATTAATTAAATCCGAAAATAAATCAAACAATTTGAATTAAAACATTTTAATTCAATTAACCAAATAACCAGAATCAAATCAATTTAAACCAAGATAAACCAATTAAATCAATTAATTCAATTAAACCAGATTAAACCACACAAACACACAATTCATCACATAAACAACCAAAATATCATGAAATAACAATTAAACACATAAACTCATCAAGAACAATCACAAACCAAATCTAATCTAGCAAATCGCGGACCCACAGTCATGCACTCACCTTGACAATGATTGAAACTGAAGGAAAAAGGAAAGACGATGAACAGTGCCGAATCGCGGATGAACAGTACCGATGAACAGTAACCCGGATTTTTCCAGGAACTCTCAAAATCGCCTTTCTCCTTCTCTGCCTCGAAAAACGTGATGAACAGACGGCTGCTTCTCTTTAAAACGAAAATAAGGGTTTCCAACCCTTAACCGGGCTAAACCGGGCCCAATTTCACTCAAATTGAACCAAAATCAATTATCAATTATTTGGTTTATGGATGTTACATTTTCAATACCTATATCTGAGATGAATAAGAACAACATGGAAACAAAGTATGAATAGATGGGAGGGGAGAACACGAAGATTACAACAATATGGAAAAGAGGAGGAGTGAGAACTTCACTAAAAGGAGAACACTTTGATCGGAGATGACTTTATCTTCAACCTTAGAGGAGGGTAGAGACGGCGACACATTTTGTTATGAGAGAAGAGATAAAGTAATCTAGTTTAAATAATTATTTTAAATTATATAAATCATAAATTAAGTTCAAATAAAAAAAAATTATTATGATGTAATCAGTAATCAGTAATCAGTATATAGGATCATAAATAAATAAAAAACAAATGACCATTTTCAACCATATTTTTGAAACTATTTTCGACAGTTATTGAACAGTCATAAGTTCGTAAGATATTTACGACCTGTTTTTTGCGTCGGAAAACCAATTTGAATTTTCAATTTAAATTAGTCGGAAATCCATCAAAAATGTATCCGACGGATTCTGGAGTCAGAATCGGCAATATTTTCTTGTAGTGGATGAGAAATATACTAATACTAGTAACTATCCTTTAATTAATATTTTAAACAAAAACTGTAGTTTTAAAGGGAGAGTTTCTCTACTTAGCATTTACAAAAATTCAACGCTCATTAAAAACTTTAATTATCACGTTACATAAGGTAAAAAACCCATATAAATATGATGTTATCATTCTTTATAACATCACAACAAGATCTCAATAGAAAGCTAAATTCAAATATATTTTCTCAAAATATTGTTAGTTTACGTTGAAAAATGAAGAAAATTGTTTTCTGTTTAACTTTTGCAGTTCTTGTTTTATCATGTGAGTTTATTCTCGACTAGTTGTGATATATAACTATGGTATTTGATAATCTGAAATAATATAAGCATTTAAAACTAATATTTTGTAATTAATAATTTATTTATAGGTGTGTCAAGGTCAGAAAACGATGAAAATTTGCCCAATGGTGCACCAGAGCCTCCACCGGAGCCTAGTGTTAATTCAGATGAAGATAATCTTGCAATCACTCCTACTATTTTTCAATATTATTATTGCCAACAATGTGCTCACCATTGTATGCATAAAAACAAGGGTGTGTTTCAATGTAGCAATTACATTTGTCGTTGTTCTCTAAATGAATTAGTGTAAAACATTGAATCTTGTTTTTAAAGGTTTATAAAATAAAATAAGATGATCAGAAAAAAATAATTATATTATTAAAAATGAATCATTTTCTATTAATTATTTGCATAATGTATTTAAAACAGACACATATAAGATAATATAGCGACTTAAATTAAAAAAAAAAAACAGATGATGAATTTAACAACTACTAGTATGTACAATGAAAGCGGCTGTATCTTGGATTAGTAACTGTAATAGTGAAGCCATGAGATACAGCCGCTTTCAATTGGTTTAATGGTTATTCACCCTGCCTACAGGCCAATTGTTTGATCACACAATTATTATTTAATTGCTAGAATTATTTAATAATTGAAAAATAGAGTTTAATAACTATTAAGAATGATTATTAAATTGTTAGTAATTGCGTAAATGGCCTGTAAGAAAATTTTTTTCTGTTTAACTTTTGCAGTTCTTATTTTACAATGTGAGTTTATTCTCGACTAGTTGTGATATATAACTATGGTATTTGATAATCTGAAATAATATAAGCATTTATAAATTAATATTTATAATTAATAATTTATTTAGTTTTTGAGCTTTGTACTTGTATTTTTGTTTGGGTTGTAACGATATACATTTTTGGAGTTTAATGAGATGGAGTTTTTCCTCATTGTTGGTCTTGTGTTGTGAAAATTGATTCTGGTGTTACTAGTGTTTGACCGGTTTTGGTCGTGAGACGGTCTAATCTTTTGCTATAGACGTTTTCCAGAATATTTACTCTAAGGGCTGCGGTCCTGAATAACTCATCATGGTTTTTTGAGACAGTGGTTCTCTGGCATACTCTCTGGGTACAAGTAGGCCTCAGTTAGAGTAGTTTATCTGGATGCAAGTCGGCCTCAGTATAAGCGGTTTCAGGTTCGTCTGTGGTGCAAGTGGGCCTCAGTGCGGGCCGGTGAGGACTTGTCTTGATGCAAGTGGGCCTCAGTACAAGTGGTTTTGTGTGGTTTGGATGATGAGTTATGAGTGAAAATGTCTTGGAATGTGCTTTAGTATTGGAATTGATGTATGTCTCGGGGATCAGGTGAGGATCCCCAGTGTTGTGGCCTTGCAATGTCAGGTTTGTGTTGTCGTTGTGACGTCCGTGTTAGGATTCGAGGTCAAATCGAGTTTAGTGGGGGAGAGTTGTAACATTCGTAAACCTTGGAATTGAGGAAATTCGGATGTGTTGAGCGACACAGAGGATTTGTGTCGAGCGACATAGAGGATTTGTGTCGGTCGACACAGATTCGGGTTCACTATTTCCGGTTTAATTTGAGTTCGGTTTAACCCGGTTTGGGCCAGAAAAGCCCTAGTTTTGCGAATGAAAAGAGGCAGCCGCATTGTTCTTCTCCGTTTTATCGTTTTGCAGGCTCTAGAAGAACAGAAAGGCGATTTAGTGGTGTTTGTGGTGTTCTTGAGGCAAATCGGGGTTGTTTTGGTGTTGTTCCTCCTTGTTTCATCTCATTTCCCCTGTTTCAATCTTTTATCAAGGTAAGTGCATGACTGTATATCCGCGAATCACTAGATTCGTTATTGATTGAGTTTGTTCTTGTTTCGTGTGGATTGCGTGATATATTGAGTTATTTGGTTGATTTCATGTTGAATTCATTGTTCCTGCGTCGTTTCGTTGAATTTAGTGTCGGTCAACAAAAAGTGTTATGCGTCGACCGACACAAAGCTTGTGTCGTTCGACGCAACCGGCTCGGTCCGTTCCGATTGGAAATTGAATTGCAGTTTAATTGAATTAAATTAATTGGTTTGATGGAAATGATTTCTAGTTTGATATGGTTTAATGGTTATTTCGGATTTAATTAATTAAGTAGCTTAAAATAATTTATAATAATTATATAAATTATTTTAAATATGAGAAATTATTATTTAATTGCGAAAATTATTTAGTAATTGGGAAATGGAGTTTAATAATTATTGACAATTTTTTTTAATATTATTGAATTGCTAGTAATTGCATAAATGGTCCGTATGCAGGGTGATTGCCTCTCTTAGTATTTATTAAATACTTACGCAGTTTATTTGCATTGTGATGTAGGTAAAGGATTTGTGTGATCGCAGAATCAAAGCTGAAAAGGGGATGATAGGATTTTTATGTGTTTTTGCATTGTTTAAGTTGCTAGACTTGTTTTTGCTTCCTTTGAATTATTTTTTATATGACATTTATTTATATATTTTATTTTTCAGACTCGCGCTAGAATTGTTTAGGATAAAAAAAAAAAAAAAAAAAAAAAAAAAAAAAAAAAAACCTTGGTTGTTTCATAATCTACCTCACAAGCATTAAAATCACTTGTGTGCATATCATACTAATTTTCGACTAGTCGATCTTCTGGTTGACTTAATATACTAGTCAAACATAAATCTTATATATAATTAGAGAGTTCTCTCTATATCTAGAGTGTCCACATCAGCTTAACTCTATTCATATTTTTGCATATATTCTTATTTTAAACATAAATAAAACTAAGAAAAATACATTTTATGCGGCATGTGTCACTTTTAATGTTACATCCGTTAAGATCGTGACACGTGTCGTGAAAGAAAAGAAAAATAATAATTAAAAAATGTTAAATAAAGATCTTTTTTTAAAAAATGAAAAAAAAAATATTAGTCATATTCTAATATAAAAAGGTTTCCCATTCATCAAATTTATATCATCCAAACACATATTAAATTCAAAATAATATAATAAATAAAATCCTATTAGTACATGAAATAGGTTATGTAAGCTAAATTTTATATAACTGCATGAACTAGGTTACGTGAACCCTTATAAAAAGAGAGTTAAGGTAGTCTCTTTTTTCTCATTTACAAACTCATCAAAGCAAATTTATCAAATCTCTTTGATTCTCTTTCTCTAATGTAAAAGTCATATCTTTGAAATTTCATAACATAGTCACGACACGTAGGCTTTTATAGCTCACAAAATTGCGACATATATCTGAAAGTATTAAGCTCGTGACATGTGTTATGGAATAAAAAAAAGTAATACTATAAAACCAACAAAGCATCCGAAAAACAGAAAACAAACAATTAAAATGAAAAAATGTTACATCCATTAAGAAACGAGAAAAAAACAGAAAAAATAGGAAACAAATCATTTTAAAAAATTTGTTACATTTATTAAGAAGAGAAAAAAATTCAATATATAATAAGTTTTAGTGTTCATGATTTTATTTTAATAACAAAAACAAACATGTGTTAATCAGTTAATGCAAGTAATTTGGAAAAAAATCTTATAACAGAAATAAAAATAGCAAAATATTATAAAAAAACTAACTAATAATGAAATAGAAATTGATAATGGTCTGAGGTAAAAGTAAAATTGAAAAAGAAACAATATAAAATAGAAAACTTACAAAATCATTATCAACCAACTAACTAGTATTTTTAAAATATATATAATATCGTTGAGTATTTTTTTGTATTTAAATAAAAATTTCATATATAAATTCACATATATGATTATAAAATAGAGTAATTTCTCTACATATAAAGAAAATTAAAAACAAAAAGTTAGAGATATGTAGTTAAACATAATAATTACATGGCGCCAATATTTTCGAAAGTGGAGGACAAAAGTTGGAATTCGAGTGCTCTAACAACTAGCTTACGGTTGGAGCAACATCATTTACTAAATAGGCAATCAATATGTTGTCAAAATAAAAATAGACAATCACTACGAAGTACAAAATATTTAATTATCTCGTTCGGAAATTTTGACGGATGTTTAACCAGAAAGACAAGTATGTTCTTCTCTTTCCTAAAGCGTAATCATTTACAAAAAGTTATTGGGTTCTTCGAATTTGATAGAATTTAAAGGAATTAAAGATTTTATTAAATTCACGTGTTATTCAAGTAGGTCTTTTTTCAATTCCTTTAAATTCTGGTGTAATTCAATTTATCCGTTTTTCAATTTTGTTAAATTCCGGTGTTATTCGATAACGGGATATATTTGGTGGTATTGTCAATTGGAAGGAATTTAATAGAAATTGAAGAAAATTTTGTAAATATTCAGTTCTTCCAGTTTTTGTAGAGATTTTAATAAAATTGATTGAATTCCCAACAAATACTTTAAAATCCATTAATTTTGAATTCTTTTGATTTATACCATACGATGATAGACACAGCCTTATGTCTAGATTAGGCTTGGAACTTCAAGTATTCGGATAAAATTTGATTGGATCAGATTCTTTGTATACATAAATTTATTTCCATTAAAGATTTGTAAATGTTTTGGTTCTGTTTTCAGTCGATATTTTCAGTTTCGGATTGATTCAAGTCCATATCTCAAAACTGGTTATTATTCAAAAAAAATCAGTTATGGTTCAGGTTTGGAAATATATTATCAGAAAACTCTAAAATATATTTAAGAATCGGAAAGTGTACTGAAAATACAAGTTATACCCGAAAATCTAAGTTTGTCCAGAAATCCAAAAATCTAAAACAAAAACAATCAATGTACCGAAAATATACTAAAAAAACTAAATATATCTATACCTATACCTAAATATATCTCTATAATACCATAATTCGGGTAGTCGATCCGGTATCGTTTTGGTTCCATCTCCTATATGTTATACACAAGTATAACATATTTTACCCATCGAATAAATTCCTCGAAACCAATGGAGTACATGTATTTCAGGTTGGTTTGGGTCCAGGACTCCAGGTATAGGCCTATCTGGTACGATCAAGCGTCCCAAATGAAAGAAACCAACAACGAGAAACATTATATGCATCATATATGTAGTGAGAGCATTTTGATTATCAGTTTGTTTCTTTTTTTTTAAATGTAGAAACAATTTCATGTCGGGATGAACAAACTCTGTTCTCTTTTCAGACAATTATAAAGCAGATTTTATATGTTGAATAAAAAGTAGTCGGTAAGCACGTGACAGCCAACAACCTAGATCTATGCCATCTTCAATTATGTAACTTTTCATGGATAAAAAGTTGATGATTCTGTTCAGTTTAGTTGTTTTTGTAACCATTAAATTATTTTTTCTGCTATTTACTAAAAAAGTACTGAACAAGACCACTATAATTAGTAGGTTATATTTTCTTATCTAACAATTTCGTTTTAGTTTACATACAATTCGTTTCATTCAATACGGATCCGAATAGAATCCGATTACCAGATAACTATTCTAGGTTTAAATTTAACATACACCTCTCATATACATATCCTTTAATGAAATCCTATGGATAGAGGACTTGTTAAAGCACTGAAATAATTGGAGAGGGAAAACAAAGCACATGGCCTCCATAATAAAAGTTCATAAAAGGAAAAAGAAGAAACCTAATGATCTTCAGCCATCTTTGGTCGTCCCAAAGTTGGCACCAAATATGTTAGTAGAGAATTTATATATGTATATTATAATGAATATGAGTGCTCTATTACAGCCAGTTGTGATGTGCTTACATAGGCATACATCACCATTGTGTCAGAAAAGAAAAATCAAATCTTCATTTTGTAGTATATGTTTGCACCTAAGTGATGGTATTCTACTCTTTGCAAGGGCATTGACTTTTTTTGTTTTTGTGCAAAATACGCTTTCATTCATTAATTTCTCTAAACCGATCCCTGACCGAGGTCCGCCAAAACGTTTTTCGCTAATCTATCAGCCAAAACGTTCTCGTCTCTCGAAACAAAGCTGAAAAAAATTGCGATGAAAGATTGTGAAAATTCTAGGATATCATGTAGAATCCCGTGAAGCTCCTTTGAAGGATCTCCTCTGTTAATTGCTCCGATCAGCTTTTGCGAATCTGAAGCAACTGTGATGTGGTTGTGGCCGTCGTTTCGAGCCTGGTGGAGCGCTCCAAGCAGCGCTAGTGCTTCCGCCATTAGAGGTGACCGGACGACCGATCTCGTTGTGGATCCGTGACCCAGTGGTTCTCCTCTATCGTTGCTGAAGCACCATCCCATTCCGGCTGTCTTTGTCTCCTTTCTCCAAGCTGCATCTGAATTGCATCTCACTGCATGCATCCGGATCGGTCTCTGATCTTTCCTCCGCGTTCCGGTGTGCTTGTTCTCGATTCCCAATTGCGCCGATTGCCATTCTCTGGCATTGGAAATCGCCTGTGTAGTGGTTTCCTCCGGTGTGAATTGGCGTTCATTCCCGTTGAAGATCTTTTGGTTCCTGCTTTTCCAGAGAGCCCATAGACCCAAGCTGATATTGGTCCCGATCCCACGCCTGTGGGTGGTAAACATATGAGCTTCCTCGTCTCCTCCACTCCCTTTCTCAGGGTCTGGAAACCTTTGGACGTCCAAGGTTTGGGCGCAAGGCACAAGTCTCCAGACTTCCTGTGCGAAGGCACAGTGGAACAGTAGATGGAGCGTCGTTTCCTCTCGCCGCAGTGTGGGCATCTGACCAGGGCATTCACGTTTCTCAGCCTTAGGTTCTCTCCCACGGGTATGGCTCCTCTCATTGCTTTCCACATAAAGATTTTTGGTTTTTCCCCTGTGTGTACTTTCCAAATTTCTTCATTCCACTTGAAGCCATTGAGTTGTCGTGCTTGTTCTCCCTCCAGTTCTAGATTGTTTCCTCTAAGCTCTTCTCCTCTCTTGCTTAATCCGTTCATAGTAGCCAGACTTTGTTGTATAGATTCCTTCTTCGGTATGTAGCCAGACTAGCTTGTCTTTGCCGCCTAGTTTGCTTGGTCTTATCTCTAGAATCTGTTTCTCATGGTGTGGTACAATGGCCTTTATTTTCTCCTGATCCCATGTTCCTGTTGTAGGTGAGATGAGGTCCGCTACCTGGAAGGTCCTTTGTATGTTGGGGAGCCGGTCCCATCGGTCTACATTGCTCATCAAGTGATAGCCACGGTTCAGTCCAGATATTTGTCGATTTCCCATCTCCAATGATCTTCCCGAGATGTGGTTTCAGAAGATCTCTTCCTATACAAATTCCTCTCCAACCGTGGGAGGCTGTCGATGGTGTTCCACACTCCAGGAAGCTTTTGTCATGGCAGTACTTGTTCAGGAGGATTCGTGCAAGTAAGCACGAAGGTGTACTGAGGATTCTCCAGCTTACTTTTGCTAGAAGAGCATCGTTGAAGTGTTGTAAGTCCCTGAAACCCAGACCGCCATCTCGTTTTGACTTTATCATTTTCTTCCATGATATCCAGCTCATCTTCTTGTTTTCTTGGTTTCCGTCCCACCAGAAACGCGTTAAAGCTGACTGAATACGCTTATACAAGGAAGCTGGGAGCTTGAAGCAGGTCATCGTGTAGTGGGCATGGCTGCAAGTACAGATTTTAACATTGTCAACCGTCCTGCCTGAGACAGTAGCTTGAAGACCAGCTATGCGCTTTTTGCCTGATTCTATCTACGATCATACTAAACAGATCCTTCTTCTTCCTGCCAAAGTGTTCGGGTAAGCCGAGATACTTCCCCAACCTCCTTCCTTCTGAATTCCCAGTGCTAGCTTGACACTTGTTCTTGTTTCATTGTTTGTTTTGGAGGAGAATGGTGATTGCTGACTTTTCCTTGTTTATTTTCTGTCCCGAGGCTGTCTCATACTTCTGTATGATTTTCATTGAGCTCTTGACAACTCCGAGGATCTGATCGACAGAAGAACATCGTGTCATCCGCAAAAGGAGATGATTGACTCGCGGGCTACGTTTTGCACTTTATCCCTGATAGCTTCCCTTCCTTCTCGGCACGGATACATAAGCCCGAGAGCACCTCGCTACATAGGATGAAGATGTACGGTGAGAGCGGGTCTCCTTGCCGCAAGCCTCTGCTCGGAGTTACGTGACCTTGGGCAGCTCCATTTATCAGGTAAGAATAAGTGACTGTGCTTAAGCATTGCATAATCCAGTGTATCCACTTACTGTGAAACCCAGTCTTTCCATTACCTCCTTTACAAAATTCCACTCTATTCTGTCATAGGCTTTACTCATGTCCGTTTTCACTGCCATGTAGCATCTGACTTGTGCCTTTGATGTTTTTAGGTAGTGGAGCGTCTCGTGGGTGATGAGTACGTTGTCGAATGGCTCTCTGAGGAACAAAAGCCGACTGGTTCTCTGTGACAATCTCATTGAGAACAGGTTGCAGCCTCAAGGTAAGAATCTTCGAGATAATTTTGAAGTATACATTACAGAGCGCTATCGGTCTGTAGTCTGCAACTTTCTTTGGGCTTTTTATCTTCGGATAAGCCTCACATGTGTTGCATTTATGTTCCCTGGCAGGTTTCCGGAAGCGAAGAAGTCTTGGATCTCAGATAACTTTCTCTTTCACCGTGTTCCAGTTTGACTGGAAGAAGCAGGCTGAGAATCCGTCCGGTCCTGGGGCTTTCCCTGGGTGAATGGAGAAGCATGCCATTCTTATTCATCCTCTGGTGTTGGGGTTGCTATCAATCTGGCGTTCATCTCCTCCGTAATGCATGGTTCTAGCGCTTCTCTCACTGTTTCATGGCACTCTCCCTCCTGAGAGGTAAACAATTCTTGGTAGAACTTTGTTATTACCGCTGTTATTTGCTCTTCTTCATACACTGCAAGGGCATTGACTTAATCATGGAATCTGATATCAAGTTGTGATATAGTGCTATATTGTACATTTCTACAATATATCTCAGCTCAAAGTATAACAGGTTTACACTAATTAATCATTATGGCATGTTTTCTTGACTTTTTATCTTCTCCCACATCTAGCCTGCGTTTGGAGAGAAACAATAGATATGAGCTTCAATGACTGAGAGGTCAAAACTCTTTCTATTTAACAAATAGAGCAAAATATTAGATTGCATGGAAGCTCTGTGTGTGGTATGATTCCAGCTTTGAACTCATAGTAGTTTGATGAAACGTTGCGAAAGTGTGATTCCATATAAAGCTGCATTGGAATAACGTCAAAAACTGAATACACTAGGATTCTTGCAGTTACAAAAAGTCCTGAAAATGCATGTCACGGTGGCGGGAAAACCAGGTGTGTGAGCACAAAGGCGCTGACAACATGGAGCACGTGCCTGACAGACGAAAGAAATAAGAAAAAATGTGAATGGAGCAAACAGTAAACTGCAAGAACAAGTGGGATGTGACTGCCTGCAGAGCAGCTTGGACGTGACAGATTCAACTGAAGAAGTGATGTGCTACAGGAGTTGGCAAAAGTCAAGCTAGGATTGCAGCAAGCATATTCGATTGTTAGTGGCGAAAAAGTCAAGGAAGGCACATGACAATCCATTGGATATAAGCAAGTTTTAGGGTTTGCCTTTTTGTGGGCTAGAAATGGCCATCTCTTTTGTAGTAGAAAAAGACTATGATCTTGTTGTGTGAAGAACATGATGAATCTCAAGAAACTGGGCAAAGAGACACCAACTGTTGTTGTGTATGTAAGATTGGGTAGATTAGGATTTAGTGCAGGGGCAAATCACAAGTGTGATGTTGCGTTTCCCTGCTTAAACAAGATTGTAAGGAATCTTGATTTAAGTAAATCTTAATAAGAATCTCGTTAAGGAAAGGGTGTTTGTGCATTGTGTCTTTTTATATTTGTTGGTACAGGTTCCTGTAGTTTCAAAAACTAGTAGTTCCATTTTAGAACCGCACTTGGTTTTCTATATTGGTACATGAAAAAGTGTTTGTACATTGAATCTTTTTATACTTGTTGGTAGTTGGTACAGGTTCATGTAATTTCAAAAACTAGTAGTTCAATTTTAGAACCGCACTTGATTTTCTATAGCATAGTACGTTATAATATTAAAAATAGGAAATGCGTGTTTATTTTAGATGTCAATAAAAATATATTCACACAATTTAAATTATCAGGATCGTTCATCTAATTATATACCTCAGTTGTGAAAACATGTAAACTGTGATTTTCAATATAATTTGAGTCTATATTTGTCCAATTGGAGTATGTCGTATATTTTGTATGAATTGCTTTTTTGCGATGCTTTTGGATATATAAAATTATATATTCATTTTAAATAAATAAATATTTCTTTCGAACCTACTGATTTTTTAGTTTTGTTTGAGTTAAAATATGATTTTAATACGGACTCGCTATGTTCTAAAAGAAAATTAAAAATGCGGACTGCTTTCTAATTTACTCTGAAAAATTAGAGACAACTCGTTTATACAGAGCCACTTCTAATCTTATAAGTTAAAAATATTGCTATAAATCAGTGGATACATTGCTTTTTAAAAAAATAATTAGGTAATTTTGTTTCTATTATTGATTAATTTATAATGTATTGTTTTTTTTAATTAAACAACCTAATTCAACGTTTTTATATATTACGAGAATTTAAAATTCCTTGTGTTGTTCAGTTCTTATACAAGTTTTGAAGTATTGTATCGATTAAAAATATTGTATTTTCAGTATTGTACTAAATCTTTCTTCTACATAAAATACAATATTTTCTTAGATATGTATTTTAATGTAGAAGAAAGATTTAGTAACATAACCGAAACAACACAGGATTGGACGCATGTTGTTTAACTCGACAAGTGAAATTTTAATTACAACTTGTAAATGTGAGCTTTGTTAAGTTTTGTGTGTCTTATTTTTCTCGGAAAGCGCAATTGCTTAGATATGTAGAAGGACCATTCTTTTCACTAAGAAAATGTAATATAACATCCTCCCCTATTACCTAGCACGTGTTCTTCCACTAAATAAGGCTTCGTTTATTACAAACTTTATTTTCTAAGTATATACCAACAAAATTCTTTAAACTTATTTAAGCAACATCAAGAGATTTTCAATCGGTATCTCAAACTAACTATAACAAAAAAATATAGGAAAGAACAATGGTTCAGTTCATTCATCATCACCTCATCACCTGGTTTTAAAATAGAGTAAAATGTAACCAAAAGTTTAAGAAGATAAAAAAAAGTCAGCTCTTTGAACGCTCTCAAGCATGTCTCCCGAGGTTCGGCTATTCGCCGTGTAGTCAAGTCACTTTCTATCTCGTTTTCCATGCTTTTACCCAAAATACAAAGTTTTTCAAATATCTTTTGAGCTACTGACCCCCACCTACGGGTCGGAGAGTCCTTCCATCCACTGGTAAATCACCTGTTTCGGCCCGCTGCACTTTGCTACGCCAGCTTTTCTCCTCCTCGGCAAGCATCACCTAGTTTCCGCTTCATCTCCTTCCATCCTCATCAGAGTTTCACTCTTACAGCTTCTTCGTATCTACTACATTTGGCAAAAGAATCCCTTCTTTCAAACCACCACCAAACCTCTTCCTCATAATCTACTACGAAAGCTATGGCAAGAAGGTTCTCGTACGCAGAAAAAGGGAAGGCGGTAGATCTTACCTCAGCTCCACCACCTCGAAAATGCATAAGAGCACCAGAGCTGGACACAACTGACCTTATCCACCAGAACTTTCTGACACTCATTGGAAGGCTTACAAACCCTCAGCAGCAACGTATGGGCACAATGATTCCCTTCATATCCAGCCGATGGGAGCTCCGAGGAAGAGCAGTGGGCTCAGACCTAGGAAACCACTGCTTCCAGTTCAGATTTGATTATGCAGAAGACTTGCAAAAACTTCTAAAGAATAGGCCTTACCAATATGCAAGATGGATGCTCATCCTCCAAAAATGGGAACCCATCATCTCCTCTTCCTTCCCGTCTCACATCCCATTCTGGATCCAACTCAAAGGCATACCGCTGCACTACTGGAAAAAAGAACTTCTCAGCAATATCGGTCAAGAAATTGGTGACTACAAGGAGCAAGTACTCAACAAAAAATCAGCGAAAATCAAAGTGGAAGTTAACGGACTACAACCTCTTATCAAAGATGCGGTCATTGAGTTCGAAGGAGGTCATGAGGCGGTACTCACCTTTGAATACGAAAACTTAGGCAAGCATTGCTCTTACTGCTAAAGTCTGAATCACGAAATGGATCTGTGCCCCAAGAAACCGTTTCCACAAGACCCTAAAAAGGACTATGTTGCAATACCAACGGATAGATCTAGATACTACACTGCAAGGAACGCCGCTACAGACCTGCCTACAAACCACATACCTTACCATCAACACCAAGACAGACACGGGAGACCTTTTGGAGAAAGACTTTCTACAAAACGAGCTGAGACTGTAAGATCCACAGAACCTGAACATCAAAAGTCCCAAAGCCTGGAGATACTATCAACGAGACAGCAACAAAACCCCAATCTATCACCATCCCACAGAAACCGCCAAGATACAGCTTCTCAACAATACCAGCTACCGAGAGGCTCTAACCGCTACGAACAAGACCTAAGGCAAGCAGAACCAAGGAGAGGAAACCTCCGGAAATCACCAACGGGCCAAATCTGGAGAGAGAAACCACCAAGTCTGGTAAACCAGACTAGACTGACGAGATCCCCACTCGCCCACCTCTTCCTCTGCTGGTAGCAAGGAACCTAGATGTGGAAGAATTCACACCGATGCAAGGAATAAGATCTGAGGCGGAGATAATGTCATCTCTCCAAGACGTTACAGTGCAATATGCAAACGTGGATGATCCAGTAGAAAGAGCGGCACGAATGCAACAAATCCTGGAGGGTGAAGCCCAGGGACTAATGGCCATCACTGCAAGATCGATGTTTACAGCTCAGACCGCTCACCAAACGTCAATGAGACAGAGCCCAGATGAGCTCCACCCCATTAATCTGAGAGAAGAGGAATCTAAAACAGAAAACCAGCAATCAGAGCAAACTTTGGAGCAACCAAAAAGGCCTCGTGGCAGACCACCCTCAAAGAAAAAAAACTCGGAGGCAGGCACTAGTAAATGGATGACAAAACACAGCAGAGTCTCACCGTTCTTGAGAATCTCCCCACTATCCCGAGTCATCCATACTCGCACTTCTCCAGTTCTCCATAGCCATGGAACCCGTCACAGCAGAGTAACTTTACAGCGTGGTGCTTCAACTTCAGCCCCACCATTGTCACTCCCACCACCTCCCACCACGATTCCGGCAATACGAAGAGCCACGAGGAAGGATAAAGCGGATTTTCAAAATCCGTTAAATCCTCTTCCTTAAAAATCCTGAGCTGGAACTGTTGCGGTTTGGGAAATCCCTCAACAGTTCACAGGCTAAAGGAGCTGGTAAAGAGCCATGCACCGGATGTAATTTTTCTCATAGAGACGAAGAATAACAAAAAAGAAATAAATAAGCTCATCCCACTTACACGGTATGCTTCCAAGAACTTTGTCCCACCAAATACCCCTGGAGGTGGCGGCCTAGCTCTCTACTGGAAACAGGAGATCCCTCTTCAAACGCTCTCTTCATGTAAATCCTACATCGACACAACAATCACTTATAAAGGCATTACCTTCTTCTCTACATTCGTCTACAGTGAACCAGATCACTCACAGCGATATCTAATCTGGGAGGAGTTAACAAACATGGGACTCTCTCGTGATAAACCCTGGTTTTTGACAGGAGACTTCAACGATATCATCGATAGCACAGAAAAGTCAGGTGGTCAACAACGCAAAGAAGCATCTTTTGGGAACTTCCGAACTTTTCTCTCACACAGTGATCTCTTTGACCTTCAACATACTAGGAATTTCCTATCTTGGCGTGGAATCCGCGGTTCCCACCTGGTACACTGCAGACTTCATCGTACCATGGCCAATAGTATGTGGCTTGAGCTTTACCCTACTAGCCGCTGCTACTACCTCGACTACGAAGGCTCTGATCACAGACCTCTCCTGTCAGAATTCCAACATGAGAAAAAGAAGAAAGGAGGTATATTCAGATATGATAGAGCAATGCGGCACAACCCTGAGATATCAAAGCTTATCAAAGTTACATGGAATAAATTCGAAGGCGAGCTAGTGGAGACATGTATTGCTAACTGCAGGAAAGAAATAAGCCGTTGGAGCCGGAAACATCACATGAACAACCGGAAAACAATTGACGAGGAAAAAGCGAAACTTGAAACAGCAATGAGTGCAACAATACCTAACCCTACTACGATCAAGGAAAGCAATAAAAAGCTAGAAGCAGCTTACCGGAAAGAGGAAGAGTTCTGGAAACAACGAAGTAGTCAAGTAGATCTCTTTGGCTGGTCCTAGGTGATCAAAATTCAGGTTACTTCCATGCGGTCACAAGAAGTAGAAAGGCCATAAACAAATTCTCTGTACTACAAGATAAAGATGGTCTACCTGTCTATGAGGAAGAAGATTTCGTCCGAGTAATTAGTGCTTATTTCCAAGATATCTTCATTACAAGGTCACCATATTGTACAGCCACAGTCTGTCAAGCAATCAAACCTTGTATCAGAGAGGAAACCAACAGAATCCTCATAGCCATCCCTTCCAACGAAGAGATCCGTTCAGCTCTGTTTGCTATATACCCAGATAAAGCTCCAGGACCTGATGGCTTCTCTGCACGCTTTTTCCAAACAGACTGGTCAGTTGTCGGAGAGAGAATAACTACGGAAATCAGAGACTTCTTTGTGTCTGGTATCCTACCTTAAACGATCAACGAAACCTATGTCAGGCTCATACCAAAGATCCATTCCACGAGGCTAATCTCAGACTGCAGGCCCATTGCTCTATGCAACGTTTTCTACAAGATCATCTCAAAGATCCTAACCAAGCGGCTACAACCTATCTTACCAACAATCATCTCGAAAAACCAGACGGCTTTTGTACCGGGAAGAGCGATCTCAGACAATGTTCTGATCACGCATGAAATATTGCACTATCTCAAGGGTTCAAAAGCAACAAAATACTGCTTCATGGCTGTGAAAACTGATATGAGCAAAGCCTATGATAGATTGGAATGGAACTTCATAGCTACGGTCCTAGAGAGAATGGGGTTTCACGCTAAATGGATAAATTGGATTTTCCAATGCATATCTACGGTATCCTATGCGTTCCTAGTCAATGGAGCAGCACAAGGCAAGGTCATACCTCAACGCGGGATTAGGCTAGGTGATCCTTTATCCCCATTCATCTTTATCTTATGCGGCGAGGTCCTCACTGGTCTCTGCAACAACGCTCAAGTAAATGGTCTCCTCCCCGGAATAAAAGTGTCAAGAGAGAGCCCTCGGACAAACCATCTTCTCTTTGCAGATGATACTATGTTCTTTTGCAAGACAAAAGAACAAAACTGTGTCACTCTGGCTACGATCCTGCAGAAATATGGAGAAGCATCAGGGCAACAAATCAATCATCAGAAATCCTCCATATCCTTCTCATCAAAAACACCACAAGATATTAGGGACAGAGTAAAACTGACGCTTGGGATAGAAAAAGAAGGAGGTCAGGGTAAGTACTTGGGGCTACCTGAGAGTTTCGGACGAAAGAAGAAGGACTTGTTCTCTTTGATAGTAGACCGCATCCGTCAACGAGCAGTTAGCTACTCTTCACGACGACTATCGACAGCAGGAAAGTTAACTCTAATCAAGAGTGTCCTCTCAGCCATACCCACATACTCCATGACGTGTTTCAAGCTCCCTGCCAGCCTTTGCAAACAAATTCAGTGTACACTAACTCGATTCTGGTGGGACTCAACACCGGGAATGCAAAAGATGAGTTGGACTTCATGGAAGAAGATAACAAAATCCAAAACCATAGGAGTGTTGGGTTTCCATGACATTCAAAGCTTCAATGACGCCTTACTAGCAAAGCTCAGCTGGCAAATCCTAACCAATCCAAATTTCCTGTTAGTCCGTGTCTTACAAGGAAAATGTTGCAAAGATCATCATATTTTAGACGTTCCTACCTCCAATTCATCGTCACATGGCTGGAGAGGAGTTCTCATTGGAAGAGACCTCTTAGTGGAATAACTCGGCAAGGCGATTGGCAATGGACACAACACCTCCATCTGGAATGAATCCTGGCTGTCTTATACTTCACAAATCCGACCCTTTGGACCACCAAATCTACAAAACAAAGATGCAACGGTCGCCTCATTACTTGACGGATCGGAGTGGAATAAAGATAAGATTGAAGAAATTATGCCACATCACCTACCTATGATCATGAGCATTCGGCCTAGTATGAAAGGAGCACAAGACTCATATGTATGGCTACCATCAAAATCACGTGATTACACGGTCAAAACTGGATACCACATCGCTAGAGCGCTGAAAGAAGACCAATCAGAAAATCACCAAACATCAATAAATTGGAATACCGATATCTGGTTAAGCCACTTCTCACTCAAACTCAAAATCTACGGGAGAGAATCTCCTCAACAGAGGAATGTTTGAGAATGTCTGTTGCGTTCATTGTGGGGAACTTGAAACCACGGAACAGCTATTCTTCCTCTGCAAGTTTGCTCAAAAAGTGTGGTTCTATAGCCCCTTTCACCAATACTCTAGACTTCTCATCTCTCAGCTTTGGGGATTCCGTCAAAGAACTTAAACGCCTCATCTGCTTACCACCATTGGGGATCACTACCGGACCCTTGTTCCCTTGGATCTGCTGGACCATCTGGTCAGCCTGGAACTATCGAATTTTCGAGGACCGATCCTTCTCCCCGGACGACACGGCTCTTAAAGCAATCCAGGATGCCGTGAATGGCAAGACCGTGTCCGACTAGCCACCGGTGACTCCACCCGACGACAATCGACTGCTACACCGACGGAGCTTGGTCAAAGGAAACAGCGATAACCCGAGCGGAATGGGTCTTCACCACCAAAGACGGCATACAAATCGATTCCGGCAGCACGGCCGAACAATACATGCTCTCTCCACTCATGGCAGAGGCCATCTCCATCAGATCAGCCCTAATTCAAGCTCTGGAGAAGAACTTCCTCCATCTACAAGTCAAATCAGACGCTCAGGACTTGATCTGAGCCTTAACATCGCGAGAGAAAATCGAGGAAATCTAGGGAGTCCTTTTCGATATTCAATCTCTAGCATCGTTGCTTGAATCAATTTCCTTCTGTTTCATCCCGAGATCGGAAAACTCAAAGGCCGATTCGCTTGCCAAGGCAACTGCATGTGAACTCGGTTCTCGCCAAACCCTCGGTTTAATTAATTAATATAAATTGTTCAAAAAAAAGGAAAGAACAATGAAAAAGAAAAATCTTATATGAGATGTTTTTAAATAGCCATAAAAACCCCTCATGATGATGTGTCCAATTCTAATTAATTGGTTAAATTCTTTTTGTAAGAATTTATTATATAATTAACTTGTATTAAATATTTAACTTTTTGTTTGTTTGAGAACCATCACCGGTGAATATGCTTAGATCATATTTATCGAAAATGTTCTAACAAGGTTCTCAATAATTAAATAAAAATAAATCAAAAAATAAGAGAAAAGATGAAAAGTTTCTCAAATGAGAACCCATGAGAATCTCATATTTTAAGTGGCTTAATGTATTACAAATATTAAAACTTAATTCAGTTAATTGAACTATATGAAAATATTATATTGTTGAGAACCTCAATTGATAGAGGTGCTCTAATATATGGTAAATCTGGAGATATAAACTTTTCCAGTTTAGACATAAACGTTTGCGGATAAATATAAGGTAATGCAGCTTGAACAACCAAAATACACATTATGCCAAAAACTGAAAAGAAAAATACAAGCACAACACAACTCAAACCGAAACAACTGTCAGGAAAAACCAAACCCTGAAGCCAATATTAAAATGTGAAGTATATCAAGCAATAGTTTTGGTAACTTATAGTAGTAAATTATGTTTGGCTTATTAAGCTTAAGGGGTTTTGAAATGCTAAGGAAACCAGAGGATGAAAAGATAGATAAACATTCGACCAAAAATAATCTCATTTGGTTACCGAGTAATTTTGTTTTGTTTTTTGGTCCTAAATTGATTACTGAGTTTATTATCCAATTATCATGAGTTTGACGACTATAAATTTCAATATTAAATCCAATATGGATATCTTTGCTAATTTACCCTTTTTTCTTTATCAACAACATGTGATAAGTATATATATATTTGAGTTTGGAAAATGAGACGAAACACTAACCTATATAATTGGTGGAGTAGAGCTTAAACCTTGACCGTTCGCAGTATAGATTAAGATCATAGATTAATGGTCCAACCTCGTCATGTTTCTAAGATAAATAATCATTATTAACTTATTAGCATTAAGTGTGGACATGAGGTTATGGGTTAAAACCATGGGAAAAGGAAAAAGGCAAAAGGCCCACCCTCTAAGCACTCTATTTTAAATGGTAATTCGTGCCTGTCAAAGCTTATAGAGTCTGTCAGAAACACAACCCCAAAGTCACTTACTTCGACGACAAAAAAAAAAAAAAAAAAAAAAAGCCACTTACTTCATTTCATTTCTTTCACTCCATTTATTTATTTATATATCTTAAAACAAAAGTTAGAAAGAGAGAGAGAGAAAGTTTTAAATTCTACAAACCCAAGAAACCCCCTAAAAACAAGAGGAAACAAAAATCAAACTGAAAATAACATTACTAGTTTTTTGTTTGCTTCCTCTCTGTTTTCCACTGTCTGGACATTGGGATTAAACCAACTTCTCATTCTCATTCTCTCTTCTTCTTCTACTTCTTATTTGTTCTTGTGTGCGAAAACAAATCAAGAAAGCACAAGGAGACAAATAGACCTATCCATATCATTACCAAACAATCCATACATTCTCTAGTTATGGTTTTTTCTTCTTCATTTTCTTCCTCAACTATCACATCCAAATTTATTGGGTTTCTTCTTCTTATCTCTCTTACGCAAGACTTGTCACTCGGCTCGGCTCTGCATCATAAAAACAACACTTCATTTAGACCCAACAGAGAGATTCAGAAGCATAGAATAGTGGAAGCATATCTAAATAGCATCAACAAGCCGTCCATAAAAACAATCCACGTAACCAAATATACCTTTTTACAAATCCTCTGTTTCTTGTTTTTTTCTTCTTCTCATGATAACATTTTTGTTACTGTGAAACTACAGAGCCCAGATGGAGATGTAATAGAATGTGTATTGTCTCATTTGCAACCAGCATTTGATCATCCTCAGCTACGAGGGCAAAAACCACTGGTAATGAGACTACTCTTTCACTTGACTTCTTTTATACTTTTAAGCCAGCTCATGATGATCAAATGGTTCAAGATTTCAATAATGGTTACTATCATGCCTTAACTTGTAGTTTAGTATGAAGATAAGTATGGATTTCAGTTTGTGATTCTTGATAATAATAATAAAAAAGAAGTGAAATTCTACTAATGGAAATATGCAGGATTCGCCAGAAAGACCAAGTAGAGGAAATGGAACAACAGATGAGGAAAGTTTTAATCAGTTATGGAGTCAGTCCGGTGAAAGTTGCCCAGTTGGGTCAATACCAATGAGAAGAACAACAAAGAGTGATGTTTTGAGGGCAAATTCTGTTAGACGGTTTGGTCGGAAACTGAGAAAACCCATCAGACGAGATTCCTCCGGAGGTGGTCACGAGGTAACTTCTTCTTCACCTCTCGTACGAATCGATCATGCGGGAGGAATAATAATGTTTTTCTTATGCTTTACTTTAACTTTTGTTGGTTCAGTAAAGCATTTTATTCTCCAAAAAGATATAAAGCAAAAAAAAAAAAAATGATTCGATCGAGATGGAGAGACATAAAGGGTCTTTGAATGTTCAAACTTGTTTCTTGATATTGAAAAACAAAGTGTGAATAATGATGTGTAACAAATACTCCCTCTGTTTCAGAATGTAAGATGTTTATGGTTTTTCACAAGAAATAAGAAACATTTAATGTGTAAATTACTTTTTCACACCAACCACTTTTTAATAGCTTTTAACCAATCACAATTTAACTATTCAAATACTTTAAGTTAATATGTCTTGAAGTTTGTAATATGTTAGTATTAATTACCAAAAAATACCTTAAAAAATTCCAAAACATCTTACATTGTGAAATAAGAAAAAATCCTAAAACATCTTATATTCTGAAACGGAGGAAGTAAAATGTAGGAAGTAAAACGTAAAGGTGTTCGCATTAATAAAGTTTTATTTACTTGCAGCATGCGGTTGTTTTTGTAAACGGAGAACAATACTATGGAGCAAAAGCTAGCATAAATGTCTGGGCGCCACGTGTCACTGATGCTTATGAGTTTAGCTTATCTCAGATTTGGCTCATCTCTGGCTCTTTTGGCCATGACTTAAACACCATTGAAGCTGGTTGGCAGGTACTACACATTTTTGTTAATCGGTTTAATTGTCTAGAAAAAAAATCTGTAGTTAATTTGTAAGATTAGTTTTTCTAAAATTGGTGACCTACTAACCATTAATCCACTGATCAGTAGCGCTAATCACTAGAGAATCAACCAAGCTATAATCTAAATCTTTCTTATTTATTTACTTCTTTTATACTTTTTTTTTTGTTTTAACGAAAGATCCGAAACTTTTATCATCTTAAACACATTTGTTTTATTGTTATGTTAACGCAAATGTCAATACGGAATCTTAAAAATAGCTTTCGAAACAGTCTTGACTCAAGACCTTACCCTTTTAACCAAAACAAATAAAATAAAAAATAAGGACCTTGGTCAAAATTTTCATTTTCTAAACAGAGAACCGACCCACTAATCAACTAGTATTACACAGTACTAAGCAAAAGAATGTGGTGGGGATATAGAGTGGTGGGTCCAACTAATAATGAGGTTGGTGATTACTGATTACATAGCATTTGATCTTTTGTGCAGGTCAGTCCTGAGCTATACGGAGATAACTATCCAAGATTCTTCACATATTGGACGGTAAAGACCACCTCTATTTATTTTTTTCTTAGTGGGTTTATTTTAATATCTTGGAAAAGAAATTTAAATGAATATTTTGGAAAAGCAGACAGATGCTTATCAAGCAACTGGGTGCTACAATTTACTCTGCTCAGGGTTCGTACAAACCAACAATAAAATTGCGATTGGTGCAGCGATTTCCCCGAGGTCCTCTTATAATGGAAGACAGTTCGATATCGGTTTAATGATTTGGAAGGTCAGTCTTCTTTTCTTCCATTTATTTCCCACACTTCTAACCATATTTTATCGATTCAATTCATCAATAAGGACAAAATATTCCTGAAAACTTAAAATACTACAATTTTTTATACATATAATACTTGATGATATTGGTCAAACCACATAAAACAAATGTAAAACATTGATGTAATTAAGTCATTTCTTTCCCCATAGCAAATTTTGATGAAAATTATGGTAGAATCAAGTCATAGTAGTACGTGCATGTGGTTTGGTGTTTTTAAAAAAAGAAAATGTGATGTATGAATTTACCAATGAACTTCGAAAATTTAATGAATTGGAATGTGTAATCTAGCGCATAAATAGGTGTTCTTCCTTTCTTTCAAGAAGTAGAAGCTGACACGCTATACAATTAAGTATGTTTATCTGTAATTAATGCTTCATTTATGATTGCTCTGAACTTAAGACTTTAGGATAAGTCCATCAAAACAAAGTAGTGAAAGTATTGTTGCATTTTAAAAGCACTCAAACCGACATAAAGTAAGTCAATAACGCGCATTTGATACGCTACGCATATGTCTGCTAAAAACTTTTTTTCAGACCGACACATTAAAATTAAGCTTATCCCACAAAACTGTTAATTTGAGCCTCCAACCATTATTTCATTTTCTACTTTTAATATATGTTTCTTTTTCTTTTAAATTACGTAAATCTACTTCTTTAAACACATGACATAGATATACATATATGTGGAAGTGGAACAAGACGATGTTTTGTCACGACTTCTTGGTTTACATATCAGTATAATATATGAGTACGTATGTTATATAATAAATATGTATAAACTAATTACGATGTGTACCACTGTTGTTAGTTACTTTGAAATTTTGAATACGAATCTCTCTTTGAGAAACAATAAAGAAAGCAACCAACCAACCTCGAGTTTCATAAACTGAACTAATAAAAGAACGATAGCTTCAGCCTTTCTGAAACATTGTTAGTAAATCAAAAGGTTGGATTTAGTAAGGGCATTAAATTGAGGATATGAAATTGATGACAGAAACTTTCACTGCACCTGCAGTAAAAGCAGAGCTTTAATGTACATAAAAAAGAAACCTATATGGGCAAGTTTTGCTGATTCTGTTCGTATAAACAAAGATATACGTAAAACAAGTTGTTTTGACTAATACGTGGAAGATAAGTTTTAATGAACTCAACTAAAGATGGTTAGAATTTAAAAGAGAGCCTCATAATGAGGGACATATGCAATAATTAGGTACCCTTATGCTTATCTATGTAAAGTTGAATTATATTGTTTGCATATATTTACGTTTAACTCACACAACCATTAACTAAGATTTAAAATATTTTTTGTTTGGTAAAACCCAATCAGTAAATTGACACATGATGAGAACATTTCAAAAGGAGAAGATTCTGATTGAAGATTCACTAAGAAAATATGTTTCGTTTCATTTTTTTTTTTTTTTTAATAAAAAGATTCACTAAGAAAATAATTGAAGCGAGAGTAGCTTTTACTACAAAAGCATTTTGGGTTAATTCTTAATGCCTACGATCTTTCATCTATAATATTTCTTTTTCTTTTTTTGGTCTTAAACCTAAACGTGGTACATTATATATCCAATTGTGGTCAACTGAAACATTGTAGGATCCAAAGCATGGGCACTGGTGGCTTGAACTAGGAAATGGACTTCTTGTGGGCTACTGGCCAGTCTTCTTGTTCAGCCACTTGAGGGGTCATGCAAGTATGGTTCAATTTGGCGGCGAAGTTGTGAACAGCCGAGCAAGTGGTGCTCACACGGGAACGCAGATGGGAAGTGGCCATTTCGCAGATGAGGGCTTTGAGAAAGCTGCCTACTTTAGGAACTTACAAGTTGTTGATTGGGACAACAATCTCTTGCCCCTGAACAATCTCCATGTCTTAGCCGATCATCCAGCTTGTTATGATATCAGACAAGGCAAAAACAATGTATGGGGGACTTATTTTTACTATGGAGGGCCTGGTCGAAACCCTAGGTGCCCTTGACTCACCCAAACCGAATAAATCAAATATTTTGTGTGATTTTTTTTGGGTACAAGTTAAAGTGTGTGAATTAATGTTATCTTTTTGTTACTATAGGATTTCTTATTTTTTATTCTTAGATTTGTTTTTTGCTAAGGCTGTTATAAAAAAACATAAACAAGCCAGTTATGGTTCGGTCCTACTGTATTTTTGACTTGATGATATAGATAATTTTCTACTGGATTTTTTTAATAAGTATACTACATTATTATTCACTTGATGACAATTTATGGCTGTCCGGTCTTTAAAACAAAAAAAACAGATTACTACATTAACATGGCAGCACAAATGCTCTTCGTCTGTAGGAACAACGTTGTCACTGTACTCTAGCCAGATCTCAGGTTCAGAGCTAGAACTTTGTTGAAGCCTCATAATAAGAGGAACCCTAGTGCAGATTCCTTGCCCACGAAGCAAACTGATTCTGCTAAGGACTCAATAACACTCCACTTTCCTTTGGTCCTGGACCACGACTATAGTTGGAACCTGGATCCCTTCTCTCATCACATTCAGGTTCCTAAACCTGTCGACAACATCCTCATGGGTGGTTTTTTGACAATAGAAGAGGTTTTAGAGACAAATGTACTTCTTAATCCCTACTATTTTGTTTTTATTGAGTCAGAAGAAAGACGAAAGAGGATATAAACAGAGGAGAGACGTTTAGTGTAGAATTTAAAATTTAAACTTTAAATGTTCATGAAAGTAATTTGAAAAGTTCATGTTCATGATTGTGATGACAATTTTTGTTGTTATGGTAAGCGATTGATGATTTGAGTGTGATGGCAATAGGCGACGCAATTGTAATGACGTGAATAGCAAGATTGGCAAAGAACGATCATGTCATTCGAGCAGAGGAGCATCACGTTCACAATGCCGCAGGTAGTCACAGGTAAGGCAGAAGTTCTGAGTTTCTGTAACACAACGGTTGAAGGCCGTTGTACTTGTACATCTGATGATAGGATTTGTGGTGTGAAAGATGATATGAAATGATGTAATGATATGAGGTGGAATGCAAACAGTGGTGAATAAAGATGAGATGGTATGGTGCAATCACAATCAATCAATTCCTCTTAACCATCATAGTCGATGTAGTATAAGAGGTTATCAATCCATAAGGGTTTGTTGCTACTCTATGAATTATGCAAACACAAGAAGTCAAGCAGACAGTAAAGATGATGATAAGTAACTCTAAAACCTAATGAAATGAAATGCAATGCAGAAAGTAAAAGAAAGCAGTAAATGAAAGCAGCTCGACCAAGGCTCGATCGAGTGGAAACAGAGTAACTGAGCTCGATCGAGTTGAGGGTCGAGTTAGCGTAAAAACAGAGGAAAAGCGATAAAGATGCGAACTTTAATACGATAATGCGAAGGTTAGGGTCTAAGACAGGGTCTTGCGACTAGGGGAAGACTATACTTAATCAATCTTGCTCATTAACCACTTGTACTCAAGCTATCTCTTGGTATTGAGCTTCTCAAGCCTAGCTAACCCTTTCCCAAGGTGAAAGCTATCATCTAAGGCAAGATCTCAGAAACAGGGGGTTAGCCAGTGAGAATCAAGCCTTAGAGGCAGTAGGATCATTGCTCAAACTAACCCATCCAACACCTATAAACTCCATTTCGAGAGCAAGCATATTGGAGCTCTTAGTGGACCTTTTCAAGCGATTTCCCAACATTCCCATGAGGAAAATCGCCTAGACTCATACATGCCAGGGATAGTGGTCATGTAGCCTTAAGGCTTGTCCAAAAGAGAGAGATTTTAGATTAAGAACATAAAGCAAAAGAGATTAAGCATAAGGATCCTCTAGTCTAGCCCATCTTAAACCCTAAGGATAACTACTCACTACACATAATGAAATACACAATCAAATGCAATGAAAGAGACATAATATGAAAGAGGGAATGAAACTAAAGAACTTTTATTGAAATAAGCAAGTGCAAATACAGAAAGATAAGGCCTAGATCTAAGGTTCAAGAGCAAGAGCTCAAGAACACAAAGAGAGGCTTAGGTTTTGCAAAAAGTAAATACAAATTAAAGAAAAGCTAAAACAAAATAAGCTAAAGATTGTTGTCTTTTTCGTGGCTACAAGCCTTTAAATACAAGAAGGATTAGGTTTAGGGTCAAAGGGGAAGCAACATTTTTCGGGTTTGACCATTGACTCTGCAGCTCGATCGAGTTGGAACTTGGTCGAGTTGAGGAACTCGACCGGTTGGTCGAGTAGATGGGTCGAGCTGACTTCAAGACGGCTTCCTTCTTCATCCTAAGCGTGTGCGGTTGAGCTGAATCCATGCACCAAGTCCTTCCTTGCTCCTCACGTCCCAATTGCTCCAAAGTGCTCCAAAAAGACCTATTCAAGGATCAAACATGCACATGTATGCAAATGCAACCTAAAACTACTATGAATGCATAAGAAGGGAAAAGGAACAAGATATGATGCTAATGGATGCTAAAACTATGCAAAAGATGCATAAAAGATGTACTAAAACTATGCAAAATGCAAGTATATCAACATCTGTGACAGATTTGTGCATTATGAGATTGTATATGTGAAAAAATAGACAAACATAATGGTTATAAATGGATACAGTCTAAAAAATATCTAAAACATTATGTTTGTCTATTTTAATAACATAACTTTTAGACTATCCATTTAACATAAAAGATGTCTAGATACGGTTTGAAGATTCTAATCATAGATAAAGACGGAAAACGTTACAAAAAACAGATGAGTGACATACGGTATCTGATTTAGGGCCGGGTTTACAACATCTGGTAAAATTGATATATTATGAGATTTTTAAAAATTAATTGATAAAATGTGTGTAGAATGAAAATAAATCAATCTATACATTTTCAATTGTAAAAGAGTATAAGATAAAGCTTAATAACGTATTATTGGTTTTTTTTTTCATAATTATAAAAACTTGAGGGGTTAGCCCACAAATTCTGATAAAATTGATACAATTGAGATTTGTTTTCAAAATTAATGGATGAAATATGTGTAATGTAAAACAAATCAATCCATACGTTTTTCTTTATAAAAGAGTATATAAGAAAGTCTAATAACATGTTATTTCAATTTTTTGAAAAATCTGTAAAATCTCATAGGGCCGGGTTCACAACATATGGTAAAATTGATACACTATGAGATTTTTAAAATTTAATTGATAAAATGTGTTTAGAGTGAAATTAAATTGATCCATACATTTGTCATTGTAAAAGAGTATATGGTAAAGCTTAATAACATATTTTTTTGATTTTTTCGTAATTATAGAAACTTAAGGGGTTAGCCCACAAATTCTGATAAAGTTGATACAATTTAGATGTTTCTAAATTAATGGATGAAATATGTATAACGTAAAACAAACCGATCCATACATTTTTCTTTGTAAAAGAGTATATAAGAAAGCTTAATAACATGTTATTTCAATTTTTTTGAAAAATCTGTAAAATCTCGTAGAGCCGGATTCACAACATCTGGTAAAATTGTTACATTATGAGAATTTTTAAAATTAATTGATAAAGTGTATGTAAAGTGAAAATAAATTGATCCATAGATTTTTCATTGTAAAAGAGTATATGATAAAGCTTAATAGCATATTATTTGATATTTTCATAATTATAAAAACTCGTAAGGGTTAACCCACAAATTCTGATAAACAATTGAGATTTTTCTAAATTAATGGATGAAATGTGTTTAAAGTAAAACCAAATTGATCCATACATTTTTCTTTGTAAAAGAGTATATAAGAAAGTTTAGTAACATGTTATTTCATTTTTTTTTAAGTCTGTAAACTCTCGTAGGGCCGGGTTCACAACATCAGGTAAAATTGGTACATTATGAGATTTTTTTAAAAAAAAAATAGTAGATGAAGTGTGTAAAGTGAAAACATATCGATCCATAAATTTTGAGTAATTATTTGATTTTTTTCATAATTTGGAAAAGCTCGTATAGGTTATACCATTGTATGGATATATTATAAGATGTCAAGAAGCGGTTTGGATATATTATTGTATATATTTCAAAATTTTATATTTATTGTTATTAACATCTTATGTTGCTTACTACTGATCAGTTTATCGATTGGTTTATATGATAAATTTTTCATTTATATTTATATTCTTATTTATGTTGTGAGAAAAGGAGAAGAGAAATGAGCTTATTTCTTTATTGGAGGTGATGATCCTATATATAGATTACAAGTTTATGTAGAGTTTATGTTTGGGAATAAGATGGGCCTAATGGGCATCCACTTATTTACCCATAACACTCCCCCTTGGATGACCATTATACAAAAATACATTCTAAATACATAGAATGCCTCGTTAAAACCTTTACCAGGAAAACCCAATGGGAAAAACCTTGGTTAAGGAAAAAGAGTGCATCGCGCAATCACTCCCCCTCATGAGAACATCCGTCACAATCAGATAACCTCTTTCTTTGAAAGTTGTAGTTGAAAACTCCTTGTTAGGTAAATCTTCGAGTAAATCTTCAGTCTTTGCTTGAACAGTATTTAGGACATTGACATCGTCATTCTTCTGCAAGTGCATGAATCTTGCAGATGATTTATCTTGATCATTCTCTTTGATTGATCTCATACATGGATGAGAAGAATTTTGGAAAGGAATTAAACTTTCATCTTTAGACTTTTTAGATGTTTCTCATTTGTGTGTTCTTTGTTGCCTCATTAAAACCTTTCATGGAAAAACCAATGGGATAAAACCACAATAAGGAAAAAGAGTACAACCACACATATCATCTTATATCTCCCCCTTGGAAGCATCTTCTTCAAGAGATGCATTCCAATAATAAATATCATCTTTTGGAGATTACTATGAGTATAACCTCGGTTAATAAACTCATATGATTATCATATACTCTTCTATGTCATTTAAACTTCTAGTCTATGACACATTTCTCAAATATAATTTAAAGTGTGGTACTTCAAGACCAAATGTGAGCATTTTT